ACCCTGTCACACCGCGCTGACGGCGGGGACAACACGGGGAAGAGTCCGCCATCTTTATTGTTTACCTTCGTTTGTGTTTGGCGTGGCGTCACTGGAAATGTGACTCTACAAAGTGCTAGTGCGTTCGGAAGGCCAGAAATTACCCCGGGACGACATCAACCAGTGACTGCGATTAGAAAACTTGACACAAGGAGTATTTTCCACCCTTTATTTTATCAAAATGTTCTGCATTCGCTGACAAGGCAGATAGCCCTAACTGAGGAAAATGAGATTGCTGATATATGTTTGGGATTTATGCCACCCTATGAAGTGTTTCTGTCCGGTTCTTTCTTTCATGCAATTCTTATTTCTACCTTGAAATTGAGTTTGCGCCGACAGTACCCCAAAACGTCTTTTGTAGCGTGGTGTTGAGCGGAAAAATGTCATTCGCTCATGTGATATGGATCCGGTGTTGAGCTAACTGACAGTGCTTAAAAACTGCAACACCGTCACGATCGGCCTTCATAAGAATCGGTGGAATAAATTATTCTTCAACGCTGTCTATTTGCCTACCACCTCTTATGTGACCTATTTATTCCCCAAAACGTCCTAGGTATTGTTGAAGCAAATCAGGTGTCCTGATAGCAGCTGTTTCCAAGTTCCAAGCATCAACAATCATGATCAAAGTGGTCGTTTTCATGCTTTGATTTTTTAATCCAATTGCTTTCCTGGATTAGTATAATTATGCTTCATTAGCGGGTGAGTAGGCATGCCATTTTATTTCACTAGCAGTGATGTGAGCTGGTCTGGCAGTTCTAATTTTTAACACCAGTCTGGACGTTCACGACCGCAGCTGTGACCATTTTGACAATCGCTTTCCGTAATTATGCAGTAAACACATTCCTCAAATTATTTTAGCTTTATGCCAGCCCTAATTATTGTTAAATAACGTTTTCCACGATTTTATTTGAGTAAGACATTATTGATAGGGCACTAGCTCTGTCATCGAAGCTATCTGTGTTGTCGTGTTGCCGGCCCGAAATTCGCTCAGCCAGCAATCAGGGCAACACGCGTTGTCCAACACAAGTTGCTGCTATTTTTGTTGCCGAAAGCTGTCATACCGAGGCAACATTTTCGTTGTCGCCCATGTTGTGCTGTTGTTGCCGCGATGTGACAGGTTTGTCGGACAACACGGGTGCGAGCAACAAGTTGCCCGACTTTTGGACAACGTGTTGTGTTGCTGTTGCCATCGTGTTGCCTCAGTGTGACAGGGCCTTAAATGTTTGTGTTGGTTGTATGAAAAAAACGGAACTAAAGAGGGTCTTATATAGAGACAGTGCCCATTTAAAACTTGCAAAGGTTGGTGTCGTAAAGTCCCTTACAGGCAATGTTGCACAAAAGTTCTGTATTCATTGTGTTGGCAGTGCGCTCGTCAGACAGTTGGAGCAGTAAGCTAGCTGGGTATAGTACTAGTATGTATTTCTTTGGATCGATTTTGCATAAGCAAATTGTAGAAAGGCTTAAAGGCTCTGAGGGGACTCCAAAGAGAAATGTTGTAATTCCATACTTTCAAAGGTTTTGACATATTCTTGAAGCTTCGGCTCAGAAGTTAGAAGTAAATGTTGTTTTAGGGGCGAAGCTCCTAAGGGCCTAGTCCGACCGTCCGTCCGTGCTCACAAAAGAAGAAAAAATGTTTGCGCAGTCGACAGGATTCGAACCTGTGCGGGGAGACCCCAATGGATTTCTAGTCCATCGCCTTAACCGCTCGGCCACGACTGCGGGACGAGCAGGGGGCTCTGAGATGTGGTAGTAACTCGAGAGCTGGGGATGTCATGGATGAAATGTTGCATGTAGCCGCTCAACGTCTACAGAGGAGAGGGCGCTGCGGTGGATTCTCTTTCTCTTTTTGACATGAACCGTTGACTTAAGCGGTGGAGATGCGTTCCCACGGCTTCTAGCGGATCCAAGCTGATCCGCTAGAAGAACCACTGGCTCTGCATTTGACCGACCATAAAGCAGTAATAATGAAGTCAAAACGCAACCCGGAACCTAGCACTACCTATGACAGGGGTGGAACTCATGAAATGTATTTGGGAGCAGCCACGGGAGCTGTTCTAACCGCTGTTTTGGAGCAGGTTGGGAGCAGCTGAAACTACATTCTGGAGCAGGCTAGGAGCAGCTCAGATCAGTTTTCATTGCACTTCTGCTTGTGTCTTAGACGAGCACGGGAGCAATTTCAATAGTGCTTAGCAGCACAGATGAACATGAGTGGTTAGGAACCTAGGTAGATGGGATAACAGTGTAGCAGATGCGAAAACTTGAAACTTCGTGAGCCTTAATGAGAACGAAAAAGCAAGTACCATATATTTCTGAAGATGGTATCCTGGATATTTTCTGAGTGGCTTTCAGCTGCTCAAAATGCAAACCAACACTGCTTATCGCACAACTCACGTGCTCGACATAGTAATTATACGTGCGAACCACGTGACGTGCGTAAGCAATGGACGTGCTGTTGCGTGGAGGAACAGGGACACAAATTTCAAGTTTATCCTATTGTGCAACTCAATATCGAAGCAGCAGACTACGATTAACAGACTTATCGTATTCAAAGCGATTATAAGGAGCAAGGTTAAAGGACGCCGAGCAGATCTACCCCTCGCCTGAGAGCTGCTGGCCGGCAAGGTTTCGGATCGGACCGCGTTTCAGTTCTATCAAATCACAATTTATCTTGCTGGAATGCTGTTACAACTTCCAACGATGAAGTACTGAAAGGAATCTTTTGCTCATTTGTTTTCAACTGCGCTCACGTACGGATCCTGGGCCGCAGAGCCTCAGGCAATCTGCCGCTTAACGACTCGACCTCACCTTGGCCTACTTGCTTAACCGCTGATGGTTGAAGAATAGCAATCCAATCGCAGGTGGTGTAGCGCTTGGAATCCGAACCCCGAGTTTTTCCGCGCGCTTCCGACTCGGAATACACACGGAGAATAAACAGAACAAAGGATTGCAAGGCCGACCAAGCTAAACGCGCTTATTGCTGCCAATCGAGTCCATAGAAACCGAAACCAAGACAAAATACAATTTGTTTGGCGCACGTTGTGCGATTTGATGCATAATGGCGCAAGGTATTGGTTGTGGCGCAGTTTCCGCAAAATGGCGCAGGATGGCGCAGACAAATGCGTCTGGCGCAAAATGGCGCAAATGGCGCAGCCGTTCCACCCCTGCTATGAGCAATAAAAAAAAAATCAGCACCATCAGCACTACCTATGAACAATAAAATCAGTATCAGCAGCACCACCAGAGCTTCGCCCCAATCAACATCATTCACCACGTAGAGATGTGGTCAGTTTTCAAGACAGATTTTTGCTTAGGTAGTCTAATACTCAAGCTACACTAGCGCTCTCAACTGTCATTAGGCCAATAATCATTGACATCTCTAAACTGTCATTGAGCTCAACTAAGTTGTCCGGTGTTACATGGTTACATAGGCCTATGAACACCAGTCCAGGTGCGTGTCAAGGGACACAGTTGAAACCAAAACGACACCAGAACTGATGTCACATTATCTTTTTTAAATAGCGATGCAAATTAATTATATGCACACTTTTTTTTCACTATAAATGCTTAGAACAAAATAAAATAAACTTTTTTGTTTTTGTTTTTATAGTAAAGAAACAACAATTGGAACGTTTTGCACAAATTCAAGCAAGAGAGACACAACGAAAGCTTTATCGGCACTGACATTACAATGGCCGCCCTCGCCGAGCTTCGGCTTCCGCAACGGGCCGTGATCGTTCCAGTAACAGCTCTGGCCCCGAATCCTACCTCCTCCGACAACCTTTGCTGCTAAGATACTTTCTAGACACCTCCGCCAATCTTCCGCAATAGTAAGTGCTTCGCTAGTGCTGGCCATCTATGCGGCGGACACCGCCATCTTCAGCTCTATTGGGGTGAACCCCCATCAGTTATACTCGGTTTCACCTTATGTTGTACCGCAGCGAAGGCTAGAAGTGCGAGCACATGGCGTTGGCAGCTGCCCTTAAAACATGAGAAGTACCGCCGAGATGTGCCCCAGAGCAAGGAGCTCGCGCTTGTAGCCTTTCCTGCAGTACATCATAAGGTGAAAGAGTATAACTGAGCTAGGCTAGCTCAGTTGAACTCGGCGATTGTTAGCGGCTCAATGACAGTCGGCGCCACCGTGTAACTCCGGCCGATCGCGATTGAGTCAACTGTTGTTGGCCTAATGACAGATGAGAGTGCTAGTGTACCTAGGATATAACACCATTCGCGTTTGAGCAAAATAGAACTGTGTGAGAATACATAGGGATCCTCCAATTGGTTGCGCCAAGGAAGTTGTGCACAAGATTCCGTTTGCTTGTGGGCTGTGCTGTGTGGGCCAGACAGGTCGGTGCGTAAATGACCGCATCTTGAACCACAAAAGAAGCGTGAAAAATGTTTTTCCATCATCTGAACTAGCCAAATATATTTCTGAATGTAATGTGTGCTCACCACTATGGGAAAAGACTTCAATCTTGTGCAAAGAAAGCAATTCTTTCAAAAGAATCCTAAAGGAAACCTTGAGTTGAGAGGACCACGAACGCGTGAGGAAGTTCCTTCTGTTGCAAGTTTGTGCTGTTGTTGCTGTCGAGGGGTGGGTGGTCAGAGAGGGGGGGGAGTGCATCCTTTTGCTCGCTTCACGTAGCCTTGAGGGGGATTATCTTGTCGGGTAGCATGGTGGCGGTTGTCTGCTGGTAGTGTGGTGTCCGAGAGGAGGTCAGTCAGTCGGGCTCAATTTTGCCAACTTTGCGGCGGCATGTCTTTTTGTATTCTCTCTTTCCTGTTTGTGTGGACGGCTATAAATTGTTGCTTCCTCGCGAACAACTTGGCTGTGTTTGAGATTTTGTGTCGTCTTGTCCGTTAACTTATTCCTCCTTGTCTCAGGGTTTAGATTATGACGTTTCCTAACCAGTTTGATTGCATACTTTCGCTCCTTAGACGATTAATTGAAATTATTTACTTACGGCCTCATTGCAATCACATTGAGAATGTCGACAAGTGTTGATTGGTCCCGGATATTCAGAGCAGTCTCAAGAGCCATCTGCAAGAAAAAAAAATGGACGTATGCATGAAGCTTGCATAATGAAACTGACACACTGTGCTTTGCATGTTAATAATGTGGTTCTAAGCCCTCCCGTTCTTACAAGACAAGACTTAAAAGAAAAAAAATGTTTTATAGGCGTTTATATGGTTATAGGTACCATCCCTGCATCACTTAAGTGTAACTATTATGAAAAAAAAAAAAAAAAAAAAAACAGAGGCTGCTTGGAGTTGTGTAAATACAATAAATTAGAGCAACCACACTACAATGTAGATACAAACAGAACACAACAGTCTATTAACTTTATTTAATTATTTACTTCCTTGCCACGCCCATAGGCCATCAATCATATATGATCGACGATTTCTGCGCACTGCAAGAATTCATATTTGGCACATTGGAACATCTTGCAGCATTTCATAGACAGCTGAAGAACTACAGTTTTGGTTTTGATGCACAGTCGCCGACAGATTTTTCAGACTCCGATAATTCTGACTTGTTTGATATTTCGGACCTAAAGGAGGAACTGTGACCTACCCGATAGAAATAGTGACAATTAACGACTGACGTTTCAGACAGCTTGAAGTCTGAAAGTTCGATTTTTTGGAAAAAATCGTCACGAGCGATCAGTGGGAGAGATGCCGCCGTTTTAGATTCTATGTTGGCTGCACATGGATTGGCTTGGTATGGCAGCACTACTTGAGTACCGCTAAGTCCTACCGCTAGGTATGCTACGGCTTTTTTTGCTCTCTAGCTGCACGTCATTATCATCATCATGGTTACCATTCTGCTTTGTTCATTTGCCATTCTACAATCGTAGACTTGCGCCTCTCATCTTGTCGGTGGATCATGCTTTAAGACTACGCTGGCTTGGACATCATGGCCCTATCTGTTCTTCCGCTGCCGCGAAGTGTCGCGAAGAAGTGCGGAAAGTACTCGACCATAACGCTAGAAAAACAGGCAGCGATTCTCAAGCTGGTAATAGAAAGTGGCCAAATGCAAGCGGAGGCGTAACCAGAAGCAAGGCACTATTGACGGCTTTTTTAAGTCCGCTTAGACGTAACAAACGCCAATTTCACAGTCGAGCTGTTAACCCTTTCATGGTCGCATTTTTTATCCAAAGACGCGCCCCCGTGGTCGTTTTTTTTTACTTGGTGCGATAGCAAGGTCGCATAAAAAGTGTCGCATAAAAAAATCTAAGACTTAAAATAAATAGTACACACGCTTCAAAACATCTGTGGTGCACTCGCTGGAGGCTGAACAAAGCAAAAAGGAGTAAAACTTCGACGCGCCCGCTTCCGAGACGGTCTAGCAGACGTGAGGCTGTGTGTCAGACTCCGGACTCCGAACTGAGCTGGTTTCCAGTTGTTTCTCAGATGTCCAGCTGTCATCCGACTCAGAGTCCGAGAAGGGTTCAAAGTCTGAATCCGAAGAGCCATCGCTCCAATCTCCACTACACTACCCCCAAGCAGCCGGCACGCGCGGCCATCTCGAAAGTATCACTTGCACAGAGCGTCCAGTTTCGCAATTTCAAAAAGCCGCGCCACAACAAACACGACCGGAGTTACGTGGTCGTAGTTCCCTAGAAACCTACCAGATGGCAGCACATTCCGGCAAATGCTCCCGTTCAAGCAGAGGCGGGAATTTTTGAATGAGCAGTTGCGGATGTACAGGTACGTCAGCAACCATGCGGGACGCTCCCGCGCTGACGTACAGGTACGTCAGTGACCATCAAAGGGTTAAGGGCTAGTTTCCCCAAGATTGTGTCCGCCAGATTAGAAATGATGACACCAAACTCTGGACAGCTACCGTCATCTATAAGCGACGGCGGCAACCAGAGAAGTGGTTGCCGAAATTGCTCATAAATGGCGGCAATTTTTCTTTGGAGGAAAAAGAGTGGGAGCGTAACGAGCGGCGATGTGCGCAGCAGTGCGAATGGTTCCGCAACCGCCGCAAAGCCTCTATCACTAAAGTTCCACTGCGTCGAGCGCTTCAGATTTCCTTGGGAAAGAAGAGCAGATCGCTCGCCTGGGAGGCTACAGCTTCGCTGCTCTTCCTTCTTCACCAGAGTGGAAAGGCTTAAAGTTATTTCTTTTAATATGCTAATTTTTTTTGACTGCTCTATTATTTGGGTTTTTTTTTCAGCCCCTGCGAAGTCCGAGAAATCGGTCGGCGATTGTAGTTTAAAAGCACGGCAGTGGCAGCTGTCAAACATGAAGTCCTGTTCACATTGGACGCATCAACAAAGACAGCCTCAATGACATGATTTGATTCTGTCTGCTAATTAATATTTGGATGACAACAGCAATGAAGTGTGTCGATAAGATTGTATTATCTTATTTTAGCTCCGACAACAATGTATCATATCACAAACACACCAATAGGTGCAACTTGTCGCTGAACATCATTCAGATATTAAAGTGGGCTAGTTAGTTTAACATTCTAAGAATGTAAGGACAGGATTGCGCTGCAATGTCTTGTTCATGTCTTTGTCCGTCTCTTGCACTTCGCATATTTAGCACTGTTCGAGCTTTACAAGTTGTCCTGAGCAGGGGCACACGTTTTGTATGTGCTCCAAGCTGTCAAAAATGTAGAAGAGGAGAAACTACAAGCATTGCTAAAAAAACACCAAGGTCCAAAAAGAAAAAAAAAAAAAAAGGGCTGAAATTATTGTTGCTGCCATGCTTATTCTTGAAGAAATGCGTTAGCATTTCGCGCAACGGTTATAGCATGGGGAATGCGGCCTCTCAGCACTTTTCTGTAGGAGGAACGTCCCCAAAACCCCTCTTCTCCCTGGTGTAAGCAGATCAGGTCATTTAGCATCTGCATGAAGGACGTGCGCGATGCGTGGAAAGCAACAGAGCCATTTCAATGGTGTGCATACATGTTGTGCATACAGAGATGACAACACCTTGCGCTTCCCTCAGTTCCTGCTTCCCCGCCGTTCTTGACGACTGCACGTGAAGAACGACATGGCAGGCCGAAGAACGGAACCCGCAGCCCGCGTGCGTTCACAGGTCTCCAAAGCCGCCGGCAGGAGTTTCCGAGGGCGTCCAAAGCACGCACCCGCAAGCCGGTCACGTGCCGTCACACATATGTAACACACGGGGTGAAAGACGGGGGGGGAAGGGGAGTTGACACGCTCCCCAGTGATACACCCGCTTTCCCCCACTGCGCAGCTTCGAAATTGGCGAAGGGGGACGTCGCCGACGATCTTCGGCTGCTAGGTGTTACGTCATGGCGTCACTCCCTATAACCAGCCAATCTAGTGCAGCCTCCATTGCTATGCGTCCTATCGCAAAAGCCGCGCGAAATATGCACCTCACCACCATCTGTCGGTGCTTGCACAAGGTGCTCCCTAGCCAGTGGGGCTGTGGCGCCGTCCCGTGGCAACGTTGCAAACTTTAAATATGTTTGCTCCAAACCAGTCCAAGGTCAGCGCATGTACCAGGACACTAATGCTAAGGCTTTAACTTGTGTTCAGGAAGAAATACCTATGCATCATATTTCCTAAATGGCACAGGCGCCACCAAACCTAACTTGCCGAAGAACAAAAATAAAAAATTACAGTATCAGCTAGAGTGCTCTAACTCAAAGAAGTGACAGCTATGGGTATGGAACACACTCGGTATATTCAAGGGGCACTGACACCCCAAGGGTCGTATTTATTTTTATTGTCTAAAACGATGCAAGTTGCAGTCATAGACACGCAAAAAAAAAAAACGCTTCGCAAAAAAAACTTTTCCTGCGCGCGCGCGCCTTCTTATTTTTGGCGTTTGATTCTCCCGCCTCTTTCCTCCTCGCTTCTTTTGATTCGTGACGTCAAGCATCATGAAATTTAGAAGCTTTGTAGGCGACATCTTTATAACATTTAAAACGGCAATCCTAAAACATATTTTTTAACGCAATTGCGAACGCAATACGGCCCTTCTTTTTGAAATCCCAAAAATCGGGAGTTCGTTGTGGTGCCGTCTCCTGGATTTGTATCCTCCAACGGAAAACAGGCGATGACAGGCCATGGCAACAGCAGGGAGTCGTGAAAGAAAGTGGATTCTCAGGATTCCGCAATATTTGACGTCAAGGCACCGGCGCCGATCGCGCGGGAACTTCGAATTCGGCATTTGGAAATTTGTTTTTTACTTTACAAATACTGAATTCCCAAATTTCAAATTTTGAAGGTAATGTCCCGGCATTGTTTTCAATCGTTTCGGATAATAAAAAAAAGTATGATTTCGATGTGTCAGTGCCCCTTTCAGGAGTTTTTAAAATTTGTCATATGTTTTGATATAGTTATATGAACATTTCATTTTTTTCTCCTCTTTTTGTAAATTCCAACCTGAACAAGTGATTTGCTAAACATTTTCAATGCATTATTCTTTCCTTCGAAAAAGTAGTTTATTGCCTGCATTTTGGTGTGTCAAAATTCACCATATGGTGATTAGTTCTTGAAATAAAGAAATATGTCCATCCTTCGAAAATCCCAATTTTTCCCCATGGCAAGCAAAGAGTTGTAATACAATGTGGAGTTTTCCCCTACAAACAACACAGCATAAAAATACCCGCCCACGGGCGTCGGCAGGGGCAGTTGCCTGGTCATCAGGCAAACTAAAATATTATGGAGGGAGTACACGCTTAATATACGTCAATGGGGTCTTTGAACTGGACTTAGCTATTTTATTCAAAGACTCGGAACATTGTAGACAAGCTTGTCTACAAGCCGATCACCTCGTGTTTTCACTACATAGGGAAAGGCATTCGAGAGTATTTTAAAGTTTTTATTGCATAGGCGTAGTGCGAAATGTGATAAAATTAATAAATTACCGCTGGCTCCTTCGTCAGTGATAATCCGCTAGCTCTGAAATGTTAATGCCCCGTTCACCATTCCCAAGAGTTTTGTGACCAGGTTGAAAAAGTTAAATCGCTCAAAGTTCCGGAGGACTTTTTTTATGTAAGCAATTAGAACCTTAAGAATGTTTATGACAAAATTTGCTAAAAAGTCCAAGTATAATATGTTGTAAAAATGTTGTGGGAATATGTTTGTTGTGACTCATGAATATACAACCTCCTTGTTTGATTTGGTCCTTATATATTTTTGTACATTACAAAAAATATTTTTCACTTCCCCATAAAAAAAGAAAAGAAAAAAAACCACTGGGTGCAAAAGTTTTGCATCACCAAGACAAAATCCTGTTGATGCCCATGTGCCCACCAATAATATTATGCACAGAATATTAAAAATCGCTGCCACAACTCTGGTTATATAGCACGAAATTCATTAAACAAAGTATGGGCCCCTCTCGTATCATGGGAAAAGTGTGCTTCCGTGCTCCCGTCCACAACCAATGGTGGGCGGTGCTCAAATGACCTGCCAGCGTGCGCACCTTGAGGTCTTTTGTGCTCCACTGAGCGAGGACAATCTTGATGTTCCTGAGACGGTGGTGAAGAACTGCAAGGATCGTCTTGTGCTGTTCCATGATGCTGCCCACGGCCTCGGCCTCCGACATCTCCGGGACTCCCAAGCCTCCCCCGTGGTGGCTCGCTTGCAAGTGGCGCTGAAGCCCACCACCCACAAACATCAGTTTAGAGCAAATCACACAAAATGACCACACAACCAATCTAGGGCAAGCTCGCTCTCGGGATTCCAAGATGTAGAAAGTTCTCCAGCTCGCTTGGGTATTCTCTGTCGTTTTGATTACTCTCAAACATATCCAATTCCTCAACTTCAGCCTCACCAACAATTAAAAGGCCCAGAATAAACTATTACAAGTGGTGATTCAAAAGAGCTGTACAAGACAATCTACTATGTTGGGGTTGAAAATTATTGGTTGTATCCGGTCAGGTAATGTCTTACTTGGCTACAATCTCTATTACTAAACCTTTTGACACGTTTCATTCTGAATTAAGTCTGTAGGCAGAATGTTTGTCGCATATCAAACTTGTACGTGCCAAACCAATGAAGGGCATCTGAGGACTGAGGATCAATTTAGACCACCTGGTCATTTTTTGATGTGCAACCGAACTCTCGCTTACTTCTTCGCAATAAGCCTCCGACAGATAGTGGGCACCTGGGTCGGGATTCGAACCCGATATCTGGGGATCCGTAGGTCGGCGCCTCAAAGTCATTGAGGCGGCTTCATTTTCAGTCTCATCTGTGCCATACCGATACCCTCTGCCTTGCACATGCTTACAAAATGCTTACGCATCTTAGAGCTAACACATTAACTCTGTTTTATGTGAGCAGTAGTCGTACGCAACTTGTCATTAAAATGCTGACAAGCAAGTCAGGGATATAGAAATACGAAAGCAAAGGTCAGTAAATCTCGAAAGCAGAGCTTTGTGCGCATTTATGAAAGCTCGTCTTAGTATCAACTATTGGCAACGAAAGCAGTCGTGACATTCCTGCGATACAGACACCAGCAGATGCGAAAACAGACTCTACTATGTTTGTCACTTTCCACACCTCTCAAAAGACAGGGTCGGGAAATATTGAGTCGACGAGTAAAGACTCACCGGGAGGAACTCGTCCAAGTCTAAGCCCGCAGGCACGTCCCTTTGGGATGGCACGAGCTTCTGTTCTGGATGAACGACAGCCTTCTGGGGAGTCAGAGCTTCTTTGCTGTCTGGCAGTACACTCATCACAGGCCGCACAACAGACACCGTGGAACTCTCCACCTGCCGCGTGCAAGAAAAATGCTACCTTTAGTTAGATTGACCAGGCCTATGTAGAAATATTGGCTACGATCTATCCGATTTCCCCAGTTTTCGTGGCTTACAGCAAAACACACGTAAACGTCGGCTGGATATTTTTATGACAAACAGGTCGAAAAGAACAGGCCCAAAAATTAAATAGGCAGCATCATGTTTATATTGACACTGTCTTGTATGTGATAGCTGGAGAACAGATATAAATGCAGCATCCTGTTTTTAATGCAGCGCTGCTTTTCTGAAGGGCAATCGAAAAGGCTCTTGGCAACAAGACGAAAGAGAGCACATTGTTTATGTTCATGCTGCTGCAGTTTCACTCGCTTTTCTGCTCCACTGGGTCCTTCCTTACATAATTTGTTTCCGTCGCCTCTTTGTGCTGGAGCCTCACTCATGCAAAAGATGGTAGTATATCAATTAACACTCGTTTATTACGCCAAATCGTGTTAAAAATCATCAATGAAAACCACAAGTTCTAGTTATAAAGAAGCCATGCAAGTATGTGTCCAAACGCATCTGTAGCTTGGCAAATGACAAAATGCACACCTTTTGAAAAAAAATCTGCATCTAACAAAATCTTACAAACATCAGACCTAGCTGACTGTGGTATACAAACGTCATCATATAAAAAAATGCTTTAATTTTTTTCCAATGGGTAATCAAACTGTCTCCAACATTTACTTTGTACAAAGTGTCCCCACAAAAAAAAAAAAAATGTTTTTTTTAACTGCCAAAATAAACTATGCCTAGTCATTCTCCGTCCAAATGCAGCGCTAGCAGCTCGAACCAAATTTCAAGGTTTGAGAACCGTTATCTTATTCAAAGGTTAAGTGATTTTCTGAAAATTTCAATGGGAAAATGGGGCTCATTTCCACCTGTTTTCAGTAACTGGCGCAATTCAGCTCTAACGTAAAATACCGGGCAAGCACCCACTCAAAATTTAGAGATAATCGCGAAAGAATGGGGGTGGGCGTTTGTCCGGTCATGAATTTTACATATAAATGTACTACCGTAATATCCCGAGGGATGCCCCACCCTCGAAAGATAACCCGCCCCCAATTTTTAGCTTGATTCACAATATTTTAAACACCGAAAGACAGCCCAGTCCTGGTAATCGTAGTGTTCGGATCAATGATGGCCTCGGCGTAAATGCGGCTAGTTGGCTATGGCGGGACATAAGCAAACATTGCTACCTGGGAAGTACAGTCATCTTTGCTTCATTGTCCCTCGCCGCAATAACAAATTCGGCAGAAAAACATTATCTAAAAATAGCGTGTTTTTTTGGTCTTTCAAATTTTTTTTTATTGTACTTTGAAAGTTAGTTGACTCCTTATTTTCACCCGATTTGCTCTCGATTTTAGGTGGGCTATCTCCCGGGATATTACAGTATGCATATTTCCTGATATCTTACAAATTTGGGAATGGGCGCTTAGTGTGGAATGGGCGGATGCGCGGTTTTCTACGGTGTGTATTTGAGAGCTCCATCGGCCGCCATTTTGCCAATGAAAATTTAAGAAAATCACGTAACTTGATAATGGTTCTATATTCTGTTTCCCGACAACTTGACGAATTGTGGAGGCTACGGCCACTGCGAACCAATCAAAGCGTCGGAGCGAGGCACATGACACTACGTCACGGGGCGTGCGTGTCACTGCGCCAAATGCGAGGCCCGGAGAAACCGGCTGGCCAAGAGTCGTCTGCTGCGAAACCAACCAACTTCGGATGAAGGTCCCCCTCTGCAACATTTCTGTCCGCTAGAATAGCAAGCACTTGGAGAACAGCTCTCGAGACAACCGTACGATCACTTTACCCACGAATCTGCGATGGGTGCTAATGCCAAAGCCCAGTGCCATGTTTTGAGCGGAAACGGTCGACTACATGGCTGGAATCGCCAACGGCCACGGTGCTACATGGAGAAAAGAATCGGGAGCGGATACGCATGTGGCATCACTTTTTTGGCTCAAATATAATTGAAACTCATAAATTTGTGATTATTTATACCTTATTTTTTGTATCTTCTCGATAGAAATGGAATCGTGCGAGTTCAGTTGCCGTTAAAAGAAAAAGAAGCCTAGAACTACTTTTTGTCCTGGACGGCGCTGTTACTGCGGCGGTAACGAGGCCCCCCGTCGCCTCGACCAGGAGTGTTATCACATACCTTGCTCCGGCGCCCTTATTGGGTCGCGGGGGCTGCAGCCTCCACAGTTTGCCAAGTTATTGTGAAACAAAGTACAGTTCTGAACTTTGGCCTCTTGGATGAATTCCTAGCGCTACATTCAGGCGCTAGGAATTCTAACGTACAGAGAATGAGCGTTTTGTGATGCATAGTTTACTTTTGCCGTTAAAGAACCTTGTAAATTTTTGGGGGGCTCGCCCTCAGCAACTTCCATCTTGATGTCGATCCACAGTTCGATTCTCCTGCGCAATAGCCCCTTGCAAACGTTTGCAACAGGCTTTCTGGTCCCGTCAGAACTTGGATACACGCATAATCAAAAGTGCTGTGCCATGCTGCCTTAATGTTAAGTTCTAAATATGCTTCTATGTTTCCGCATAAAACACAATTTTCCATTTTCAATACAGCTCTCCCCCAATTCAAAAGCTGTTTTATTCAGTTTAGAGAACAAAAGTGAAAAATTTCCAAATACTGTGCTGCAAGTGTGTTGAGGCTTTTGAGGAGCATTCCTTTTTGGAGTACCTCCGACTGGAAAAATCTACAACACATGTAAAAATAGAGTTGTGGATAAAGAGAAGGCAGGTACCTGGGAGGTGCGAACCATGGCAGTAGCCTTCTCCATCGGTTTCACAAGACTGGTAGAGACCGCCGAGATGGGTCCTGTAGGCATGGCACGACTGCTGCTCTTGCTGGGTAGCGAATTCCGATTCACAGGTACGGGCAGGTTGCTGGGCAGTACCCCGACAGTGCTGTACCTGTCGGTGAAAACAAGAAGCATTGTCACTATTGAACAACTATTACCGGACTTCGGCTGCCCAGGCAGGCTAATTCTAGAGTGTAGCATCAATGTCAACGATAAAACAAAAAAACAAAAAATGAAAGTATGACACGAGCACAATGCTCATTCAGGGCACCAACCTCAGCAGAAAAACCTGCTCTCGCCGGTACCTTGCTGAAGTAAAATACAATAAAAAACAGACTGCGTTTATGTTGTGCCGTCCAGTTTATGCAAAGAAAGTCGCACAGAGCAACTTCACAACCAAATACTATACTCTCTTCTGAGATACAATACATGAAAATGTGTACTTGTAGCAAAAACCTTTACCGCAGCTGCAAACTGTATCTATACAAGTGTGTGTGCTTATGAGTACCATGTGTACAGTACGGTAAATAAGGTTACATTTAAAAATTACATATTATGATTCTGTTATCCAAGTAGACAAGGTATCTGCGAATCAGGGTTGGGCAGTATCGCGATAGAAATGTATCGCAATAGTATTTCAAAAATATGTTTCGTATCTGTATTTCTGTATCGCGATACATTTTTTTCACCAGTATCTGTATTCCTGTATCGGAATACATTTTGAATGGTCCTTTGTATTGCAATACAATCAGGGTGAAATGTATTTCGTTACATTTCTTGGGAAATACTCCTCTGCCCTGTCTGCCCCTGCCCGCCCCGCCCCGCCCCGCCCCCCGCCCCGCCCCCCCCCCGCCCCCCCCCGGAAAGAAAATCCAACTCAATTTTTTTTTTTTACTTCTCAAAGCACCAGGGTCAAGGAGGCGCTGGGGAATTGTTACCATCCTGACCAAGGTTCCTCCCGATTCTCCAAACTATTTTCCTATGCGTCCTCTTCTCCCTTCTGAGAAGTGTTGCGTAGTCAGGGACTCGAACTAGGTGGCGTGCCAGGAGTGGAGTCAGAGCATCTTCTGCCGCAGGTCCTTAGGTAGAAATTTCTTGAGTTATTATTTGCTAACATCCAATGCCCTCTGCTAACCGTCCCTCTTGCCTTAGCCTACGCAGTAAACCCGACCGGCAAAGCTGAGACACAGTCTGTTGCAGCAAGAGCCTGGCGGTGGTTGACTTGAAATAGTAGGATGACTCACGCAGTGAAGTTCAACACATGTTCAAATGCGCCTGCGGCTGCGCCCGTAATATTGCACGGCTTAAGGGTACGTACGTCATCAGCCGACGTGAAAGTAACCCGCTGCTCTGGTGCTCCGAAACCCAGGAAGGAAGTCAGACGTGGCCTCGCTGTGCCGACCCAGACTTCGTACACCTGCTACTCGTCTCGAGCTCGCTATTTATCGGAGAGCTCGCACTTCTGCCGGCAATATCAGGTTGCAATTTACGAAGTCTCTACTTGGAGTATGCAAGACAAAACTTGAGAACTGCAATCCATGCGTCGGTGGCAGAGGGCCGACAGGAAAGACCTTTACAACAGGGATGCCACCGTATCGTTTTTTCAACCGTAAGAGAAGTTAAGACAGGTGTTCCAGGATGCTTCAGGTAGTCCACTATTCTCGAAAAATCCAAATGACACTGCCTGCTTGATCTTCAACGAGGTAACCTACAACAAAGTATGTATTGTCCTTTCATACAGCAGCGTGCTAAAGTTTCATGTTCAAGGCTACACCTACAGATAAAAAATGCCAGTTCATTCTACCGCGACGTCATGTGATAAATGTTGACAGGAGCGTCCTTATTGAACAGGGGCGTGGTGATTTAGGATGATATATAAATTATTTAGAGCTCGAAGTCTTTTTGCATCCCTCATCAGACAGACAGGATGTCAGGGAAGGGACCGCGGCCAGTCCTTGGTGGAACGTTTTTTGAGCCCATCAAAGACTCCTCGTCGTCCGAAATAACTACCTTCAAGGCAAAGTGTCAAGCCTACGTAAAGTAATTTCAGGATCAAAAACTTCAACCTCCAACTTCAAGCTTCATCTCATTTGGCGTCTCAAAGAAATTTTAAAAATGTATTGCAGTATCAGTATTTCTGTATTTGTATTTCTGCCCTCCCTAAAATGTATTCCTGTATTTGTATTTCCAAATAGTTTTTGCCTTCTTTTAAGTTGTATTTCCAATACATATCGCGATACACTTTTACAAATATATCTCAGTATCAGTATTTTAGCTACTATTTTAATGTATCCCAGTATTTGTATTTCCAAATACACTTTTGAGTATTTCTGCCCAACCCTGCTGTGAATGAAGCAGACTAATAAGGGTCTAATTGTCACATATTGCATTAGTGGCACGAAATTCGAGGTGGTATTTGGACTTGTTCTGACAACTGTGTGAAACTTTCTACTCATAAATTCTGTTAAGGGGGGACACTACCCAGAAAATAATATTTCTGCAAAAAAGTTAATTTGGAAAAATGCCCTATTTACATCTGCCAACATCTAAAGAGTATTCCCAGAAAGTTTCATTTGTTTACAGAGCATGGTTATTTTTTTATAAATTATTTTCAGTTCGCCAATGCTAAAGAAAAGGTAGAGGTTGGAGCACTTTGAATGCGTTTTTCTCCAATCCACTTTTTGGCATAAATTCAACCTTAATAAAACTATTGTTTCAGTATGACACTATCAAGAGACTTAATATTTGCGGCTTATATGTGGAAATTTTATGGAACTATGAACTCAGACTTTGCATTTTCATGTTCCTTTATTTAAAAAAAAGTGTAATTTGCAAAACACGGTAAATGTAAAAAAAAGGTGTTTTCATACATTTTTTTTTACCTGATAAATGCATATTTTCAGAAATTTCTTTTCATAGTAACCGGCAACAGGTATTCCAGTATGCATTCCACCAGAAAAATATGTCGTTATTGACACCCTTTCTCAACGATAGATTCATTGAGCAGATTCCATGCAAAGCTATGCTTTACTTTGTTCCGGGGGTATACAATTGGTTTACAGGGCTGAAACTTTGCATGCCCTCCTTCTACATGGCTACAAGCACCACCTGCAAATATCACGTCGATTTAGTGAGCGGTTTAAAAGTTGACATTCCCACGTAGTGTCCCCCCCTTAATGGTTACCCCCCCCGTCAGTAAGACATTGCCTGGCTTAAACACTCTGCCAAATGCAATGAAGGCACGATAGCACTCATTAGGGTTTTTAACGAGCAGCAGTTCCTATCGGAATAATATGAAACGTGATATGCGATGAAGGAATTGTGGATGTATAAAAAAAAAAGCCTTCATCCATGCACCTTTTCTCTGGAGGAATTGCATAGTTTTCTCTGAAATGCAGCCACATATGCACTCTGACTGTGAAATGCCTCTGCGCCTACTGGATAGCACGCTATTCCTAGCCTACCACAGCTCCCATACAGAGGGGAGTGTTAGCACACTGCTACCCCCCCCCCCCCCCCTTCGCACAGCATTACGCCATTGGTTGCGTGCGCTAGTACATCACATGGGAGGGAGAATCAGCCACAGGAGAGAACATTAGCAACGAAACTCGCTCTGTTACTGACACTCTCTTTAAAGGGCAACTCCGGTTGCTTTAGCGATCAGTGACCCGCTGGCGGCCCGCTAAGGGGCGGCTGCTCGCAGCGGGTCGTAATTTTATTATTGGCATTAGTTGGGAATGTGGCGTCCCCTTGACGTAATATTTTGGCTGGGGTCGTATTTTGTGTCACTAAAGCGATACCAGTAATTTGTTCGCTTTTGAACTTTGGCCGGAGTTGCCCTTTAATGGTCTTGCTTGCTAGAGCACGACCAAAGCGAGCGAAAAAAGGTTGGTAGAAGGTTCACGTACATGTATCTATCACTTTATAAGAGATAAACCTCACCCAGGCACCGCAGCCATGATGCTCTGCGCAGGTTCGGGAGGTAGGAGGGCGCCCGAACCTACCAAGGATCCCCGTGCTCGCGCAGTGAAGGACGTGTCGACCGTCGTGACACGGGTGGTTACGCTAAGCTGGCGCACTTCCTTCACATTGCCCCTTGGTCGCTCCGTCAACACGCCTGGGTTCGAGGCACCCGAGAGACGGACCACTTTGCTGCTCTGCGGCTCTGTGGCCAGTGTCTTCATCATGTCTGCAATAGAAGCAGCTAGGTGACTCGCAAGTGCCATCAGGCTCCAAAGAGTTGCAAGCACCCTCAGGAAAAGACGCAACATAGAATCAGATTAGGAAAAAGAGTCGAGAGAAAGCAAACAAGACAAAGTTTAAGCAAAAAAATGGTGAGAGGGCAGGCTTTAAAAAGACAGGCATGCATTAGTGTGCTTGTCTTTTTAAGGAGGCATACAGCTAGGCCTGTCTCTTACTAGAGAAACATGCTCCAATGTCACTTTAGCAAGAATCGAAAAGTACAACCTTAGTGTTTGAGGACACATACGAGCTTTCAGCATAGAAGGCGAAGACCCTGGGTGCATGCACAGGTAGACAGATATTCATCGGACGTCTTTGGAAAGATGAAGGAAGCCCTTAAAGAAAGGAGAGGAAACTACGGACTAGCTGCCTGCAGCCTTAAGTTGCATCTGTCACGCAAATCTAACTTTAGCACTATTTCATCTGTGTTGAAAGAAAATTACCGAGCCTTCCGACATGCCATTGACAATCCTAGCATAGTGATGAGAAAGTCGAAGCATAACTCAAAGGTGGCTGAGGCTGCTAACTTGAAAAGGAGTCTCATGGAAGCCACAGAGTGGCGGTACTCCTTTTCAACAAACAGAATATTAGAAAGAAATGATATCTGAAAATTTTTTTCATTCTGAAGAGTTGAGAAGTCATAGTTGCATTGCAAAGAAGGGAGCATTCACACTGACAAATGCAAATGCGTTCCAAATTTCAATGTTAGTTGGGTGTGGGGTGGAAGTGAAGAAAGTCTAACCAGCAAGGATGGCATTAGATTGCCTCGAGGAACGGAGTAGGACGATGAAGGAAGCTCCACAAAGAGCAGCTCCTATGGAGGACTACCGGGACGGGAAACACGAGGGAAAATAACGAACACAAGACAAAACAACAGAACCAAGCCTACCCTCTGGGGGGGCTGGGAAGGGGTTGTCCTTCGGTGGAGTACGTGACACTGAAGTGAAACAAAAATGAGGGGGAGTTAATGACAAAACAAGGACCGAAAACGGCTGTCTGTACCACGTCGGTACCCATGTCATTGTCAACGAAATGCCAATGTTGCTTACTGCACACAAAGTTTCGATATTGGTTCATGATCATGTTAAAGCAAGACTGCACGAAAAATATAAAATGTTTGGAAGACAACTGGTGTACAGCTGTCCATTAGTAATGTACCATAGTTTGTTGCCTGTTGAGAAAAGCAGGAGAAGCTCCTCTGACAAAGCCTTTTACTCCTTCCACTTCAATGCAAAGCGCAAGTTCGTCTGCTTGTTTTGCAGGCGTTGTGGCGACGTCAGAACGCCAAGCTCCGATTGGCTCTGATTGAAGGATAGCAGGTAGACCTCAATGCAAGCTGCCATTGAGGTGTACCCTCTATCCTTCAATTAGAGCCAATCAGAGCTCGGCATTCTGACGTAACCACAACCCCTGCTAAAGAAGCAGACGAACTTGCACTCCGCATAGAGCGAATGTTGAAGATTAGAAAGGAGAGGAGGCAAGTCCACTCTCCTCCTTTCCAGCGTTTGCTCTGCTGAGGTTGAAAGAGTAAAGGGCCTTGTGGGAGGAGCTCATACTGCTTTTCTTAACCTGCAACATAATATATCACAATCAACATGACTTGGAACACCCCTACATGTGTCGCACGATACTACCAGCGCCTCCCGTCGGATGCTCCGCGAAGCTTAAATGTGCACTGAGGTCGATATACACAGCTTTCAGAAATCAGTGCACTGCCATCTGTTTCCATTCATCTGCTATTAACACGGTAATTCCCGGGCGATGTGCACTTCATATTCTCCACGTGAATTAGGCATCAACTGATGAAAAAAAAGCTTCAATTTTGTTTTCGAAATCTATTTACAAATAATGCTGTAGACTGGTTTTCGTTCTATTAATTCCATTCACTTCACATGTGTATCGTAAAAATTAACATCTTCAAATGTCCTTGGGTGGCCAGCATTGAGTCATATTTTACTTTTTCGTCTCACCGACCAAACATTTAATGGAACTTGTAACCAAATGTACTGCTTACGAGGCCTCAACTTTATGTTTAAATTTCTTGTAACACAAAACTCCGACAAGGCAATCTCATTGTTACAAGAAGAAAACAAATCTGAGAACTTCACCGAAAGAGTATACGCAGAAAGTGATTTCAGCCACAACAAGACAGTTATGCGACTGGAAATTCAATTACATCACAAAGAGATCACAACCAAGGGATACGCCACACAACAGTTTACACTGTTAGCCACGACCCCTAGAATGTTGTGGCTGTAGCGGTAGGTTTTTTTTTCCGAATCGGAACAAGCCAGGCTCATAGTGCCCCGAGGCGTTAAATCTCTCGCACCAAGTGGAAGGGGTTTACCGCTACAGCTGCAACGAGCTGGTGATCCTCCTCGTTTGTTGTCACTCAGAGATGCCTTCTGTGCTGAGACCTTGATCTCCATAAGCTTGAATTACCCAATCTGCAGTCACCAACAACTGCCCTCTTATGTCTGATATCGTCTAGAGCTGCGCAAATATTCGAAATTGCGAATAGTAGTTCCGAATAATACACTATTCGATATTCGCTTCGAGAACAACTGCACTATCGTGTTTTTCGAAGTGTTGATTGCGGCGGGTTAGCCCCGTTGAGTGCGCTTCTTACCAAGCACCGGTGCGCTGCGGAAAAGCAATACCCGCAGACGCGAGCTTCGCGAGTGTTGCTTCTCTGCATTACATCGGTGCTCGGTAAGAAGCGCACTCAACGGGGTAGCCCGCCGCGATAAACACTTGGAAAAGCAGGAATATCGTAATCGCGTGCTTGGAGGAAACGCATACATTCAAAGCGGGATGGTACACCAGTGCCGACTGTATTTGAAAATAAATGGAAACTTTGTGAATCTGTATATCTCCATCATAGTAAAAATTTCAAAATTAAACTGTTAAGCAAGAGTACACTATGTTAGGCAGAGAGGCCCTTACAAGCTGCGTTCATCATGCGCGATTCATTCTTTTTTTAACTCGAGATTAAATCATGAATATTTTATACAGCAAGATTTGTAAATTCACTCAAATGGGTATAGTTGGCCACCTTTATAAGATTCATTTTATGTCAAATCAGTAGTTTACTTGTCATCCCAAGACACCAGACCTTCTGAGGTCACAGTTCATAAATATAGATAGATTAAACTTAACTTATAAATGAATAAGTGGAACAACCTTCACACGTTTAGCTGGGTTTTCATCTAAGCATTATGCAATGGTAGTGAAAGCAACTAAAAAAGCGCCAAAAAAAACACAAGGACGAGGAAGTAGACAGACAAGAGCACTCTGTCTACTTCCTCGTCCTTGTGTTTTTTTGGCGCAAAGGACCAGATGGCCCAAATCGCTATCTTAATGGTAGTGAAAGGCGTGGAAAAACTATTCGATATTCGAATAAAAAATATTCGGCCAAAACCACTATTCGCTTTGAACTCAAAATCAACTATTCGCACAAGACTACTATCGTGCCCTGCGAATACTCTCTCAGGCTGAGTTCCAAAATGCGTTGGCGCTTTTGTATCAACCATTTCAACATTTTTGCACTCGTTTCCGATCAAATATAAAACACCGTATGTGATCGTCCGTCCGAATCACCAGACAGCGGATCGATGATTGCATGATGACATCTTGGGGCGACGCAGAGCTTCCTACGATAAAGTTTGCGCTCGATTTATGCTGCATAATGCGCAGCTATACAACTCTAGGGAGCGAAAAGATGCGGCTAACACTTGCTTAGCGGCAACTACCAGCGGACATTGGTCAGCTGTTCCCTTGTTCACCCAACCGATGCTCACTAACAGATGAGTGGAAGTTCAAAGTAGCGCAGCGATGGCTGAAGACTGTTTCACTCCAAGCACGTTTGAGCTTCGTGGAACACCCGACGAGAGTCAAGTACTGTGTGCGACGCATAGGGCTGCTTCCGGTCATACTGATCGTGATAGTACTTCTCAATGCGAAATCACCCATTACCCCAAAATATTTTTAGACTGAGTGGAGTTGCCATTTCATAAGCCATGTTTGTTAAAAAAAAATACTAGCACACATTAAAAAAACAAAGTGAGGAGTTCTTGATTTCTTTTGTTTTCTTTTTTACACTCGAGGTTGCACACAATTCATTTCATCAAGAAGTTTGTGTCTAACAGAACTGAGCAAGCAACATGGAATGTCTACCTTCATGCATAAAAAGCAGACGTCACATTGAAGACCTTCACATGTACAGCCGACCAGGATATCCATACACTGCGAAAACCCGAGCCCTTTCAGTGCTGTAAATGTGACCTTTGAATTAGAAAACTCTGCCTGCACTTCTCCAAACACAGCAAATGTTAACTTCTGCTTTTGGAATGCCTTTCATGTGAAAGGAGCATGTGCACAGTGGAACTGTCTCGAAGAGATATCGGCTTGCGCTTACACTATCTGTAGACTGCCGAATGGAAAACAGATGCAGTACCTTTCACACACTTTACAGCACTGAAAGGATTCATGTGAATGCTGAATTGCCAATCACTCGGACTTTATCCCATGAGGCAAACGCGAAGCATTAGCACAGGGCTCCAACTGGAGGAAGCCAAATACAAGCAACCAGCAAAAGAGCCTTAATATTAACAAGCAGCACCACCTTGTGCCCCTCCAAATAGCTCAAACAAAAATAGAGCACATACGCGGTCAAACTTGGGCGGAGCACGGGAGTGAATTTTAATTTGCAGAAAAATTTGGAAGTATGATAGCACTGGGGTATACCTATGTGAACAGAAGGTATAATATAGACATAATGAGAGAGAAAGAAGGGAAATAACTTGACATTGGAGCAAATCCGTGCATGAGCAGACAGAAAAACATCCAAAACATGCCGAGAGTAGGCTTGGCATTTGCTCCAATCAAGTTTGATTGCGATGGTACACTTCAAACGACCGACGCACTTGAGCAAGTCTCTCCCCAGAACTGTTAGCCAAGCGGCTGAGTAATTGTTAATCAAGTAATATCTGCTGGTATCATTTTTCCTAGGGAGTGACTCCGTGCTCAAAACAGCGTCCAAGTTGGCCCACACACCAACTCCTAGCAAGAGCTACTGGAAATGCACACAAGCTGGCACTACAGGTTCCACTGGTTGGCATCTTTGAAAGCTCTGTGTATCCCAGTCGACTGTACTCTAGGTTTCTGTAGTGGAATGTCTGCAGCCAATAGGCACCAAATCTGGTGTAGCTGATACCCCCCAAACAGAACACCAAACACGATTGACACATATTGCATGCAAAGCTTAAGCGAATGCATGCAGTCTGGCCATGCTAGTTTACTCTTGATTAGAATAAAGTTTAAAGCTGAAGCGTTCTTGCCAATAGAAATAATTAAAAAGCAACACACAACAGACGAAAACTTCAAATCCATACTTTTGTTCTTGTCCACAGATTCCAGTACTGTTTAAACAAAGAAGAAAAAATTCTAGTAAAAATGTGAAACCTTTCATTCCAAGCCATAAGCACCTGCAATGAGCTGCAACTGTGCAAGGCGAAGCTACTGATTTGGGCACAGTTGAGATTGTTATACTAGAGCCAATTTAGTCAGAAATGCTCTGTAAATAAGCTTACATATTCTATGTCTAAAACCCTAAAAGACGGCTGCATTCTGTTGTAATACTGCTTTAGAGAACTTTTACAAAAAAATGTAAGCAATTTTCACCAGTGGCATAGCCAGGAAATTTTTTCCGAGGGGTGCAAAAGTCCTAGGATGTCCACGACTTGGGGTGCGGGGGAATGTAAATGCATGTGTATTATAACGACGTTTGCAAGTACAGCCTCTGGGCGCCGCCATCTTGCTGCTGGTGTGGGTAGATCGTCTGATAATCAAGCATTGCAGAGGCCGGGTGGGCACGGTAAAGGCAATGCTTTACTATCAGACGATCTACCCACACTAGCTGCAAGATGGCGGCACCCAGAGGCCGTACTTGCAAATGTCTATAGGGTCGGCTGGATTTTGGGGGGAGAAGCGAAGTCCCCAAAGCCCCCCTCCCTCCTTCCCTCACTCCCTCCTCCTCTTCCACCCTTCTGGCTACGCCACTGCGCTACACTCTGTTCCCGATTTGGATTAACAACCTACAGCCAATAAAGTTATGTGCAAACGCTGAAGGTATTTCTCCGTCAACACACCCTCGTTTTTTGCTCCAAGTAAGGTAACATTAGTGGCAGTGTAAAGCAAACTAAGCATAATGACCACTGCTGATGCTGTAGCTAGTTTTTATGCGTCCAAGATTTGCAGACTTTAAAAACATCCCAAAACACTGTTATTTTCCAGATTATGAACACAACTAAACACAAGTGTGAATTTTTGGAGGCTTTGTTTTGAATATATTATTATCTCCCTTTAAGGCTGTTTTACATTCTGTACTAGTATATACCCATTTATTAGAGCACCAAAAATGTACTACTGCTTGTTTTGTTTACGATATGTAGAGGAATGAACAGCTTAAAATAAACTGCAGAGAAAAAAGTACAGTGCTCTTCAAAGCTTACTGAAATTCGTTTGTCAGATCGAAGTATCACAGACACACTCACATTCTTGTGATGGGTGAAATATTTTGTTGTAGTCTCCTAAGTCCTTTATATCTGCATCTCCTGGCTCCGCTTCCAATAGAAAAGGGTCTGCGTCGTCCACAGGCTTTGTGTGCATTACTCTGAAGGAAACAAAATCACGCAGTTAGTAGTAATAAGTTAAGGATGACAAATATGACGGATTGCACTTTGACCCAACAAAAATGCTGCTCAACACACCAAAGGCCACTACAACCAAACAGACTTGCACTTCCGTCCGATTTCAATGTGGCAGTTTGTATAATTTCAATCAATGTGCAAAAATTAAAAAATTAAATGGAAGAAGCTTTGTTACAGAATCAGAGAGGAATTGGGGAATTTGATATTCTCAGTTTCATTTCCCTGCCACACAAAGGCAGGCCCGAAAAGCGGCTCCAAGTCGGCTTTGAATATTTTTGGCAGTTCCTCCTCTACACTGTTAGAGACAGAAAGAGCATGCAGCAAGATAGCAAGGACACGCAGTACCCTGCAATGTCGCGGAGCCATCCTGGGCACAGCCAAAAGGCATTTGTAGCCAGAGACAGTTTCGAGGCTTCATTAATAAAATAAAAAATAATAAGCTTGAATTTTCATGACCTGTTTATAAAGTTGACTAGAAATATAATTTTCGGTTTCTAGGCTAAGCAAAAGAAGTGAGTCCATTTACTTTCTCTGCTAGTTTCACACACACGTCGTCTACAATGAGAAAACATGGCTGTGAGGATCTGAGGCGGTCGATGGAGAACAAGAGTTCTTAGCTCAGAAGGAAGTCACTTCAGCCTCGTCAAGGCGGAACTGCCTTTATTTTTGTCGAGTCTTGCACTAGACGTCATGCACCAAGTGTCACGCGCCCCATCTCCCCAGCCTCGGTGGAGCGCCACCCACTCCGACTCCACATGTGCCGCTGTTTTAGAAGCTGCCGACCCTGAAAGTGCATTCTCACTAAACAAATATGTACCTCTATTCACACACACTGTCATGCACCGACATCTGCAGCACTCCTCGGACTCCTGCGACCGATAGAAGTCTATTCGTTCCACACGGCGGAGCCAGATATTCCTAGACGATTCAAGAGGTACCGGGGTTATGAATACATCCATGCCGCCATCTATGATGTTTGTGGAGGCTAAGCTACTGTGGAACATTGAACTGCTCGAGGTGCCAGAAGTATGCCAAACGTTAAACAATCTTAAAGGGTGGCTGCCTGGTGGTGATCATCACTGACTGCGGCATTGAGATGAGGGCATATTCATCTTCACTGTAATTTCAACATGGCATCCAGCACTCCTCCAACATGGCATCCAGCACACCGACCTCCAAGACACAGTTCACGACACATCTATTTTCCTGGTACACGGATGTGATTCAGTATTACCTCTTGATGTCGTTTATGACCACCGGGAGCTGGGTGATCTACGCAATGCCTCGAATTATTCAGTCATCGTTCATGATTACCCAACCTAAGCTGGTAAGTGAACCACCAACACACAAAGCTCGCACAAGAGAAGCAAGTGTAGCACTTTTATAGGGGACACAAGGACGCTGCCTTCAAAAACGACCAGCGCGTGTTGTCACTGGCCCACATCGAATTGTGAGCCGGACCTTCCTCGTGAAACATAAAGACTGAACTTATAGACGACACAGGCTTTCTAAAACCCTGGCATGTAGAGAGTTTGAGCAGACAATGCTCCTCCAAGGCTCGAAGACATGCAGCATGTGACACGGACAACAAGGTCCAAAAAACATAAAATTTGTTCTGCCTGGACACCAGACATGGTTCAAGTGTTTTCTACTTCAGATGGCCACAATAGCTTAGAAGCTTCATCAATAAGCAGAGGCCAATTGTAAACAAATTTTGATTTTCCAAATAAAACACTTCTCGCCAACACAAGGTGATAGAAAGAGCAGAATGTACAGTGTAAATAGAGGGCATGGTCCGAATAATTTTGGTTAAAAGTTTTAACCAGTTGACATGCAAGATATATTGAAGCAGCTGTATAAAATACAGTCAATGCAAAACTCTGTAAAAAAATGTTCATATCAACTTACTGGAACTCTTCCGAAACCCGTTTATCTTTTGAGAAACTTCTTCTTGCATGGGACCTATTGAAAAATAAGGACATTAGATAATAAAATGCACACCTGAGTTCTTCCACATCTTTCATATGAAGCCATGAAAGATACATATATACAAAGTGCACCTGCTGAAGCAAGTAGTATTAAGTTAACCCCTTGGCTACTAATTACAAGTGTTACTCGTGCCCTCCATTACAGATCAGAAAACCTGACCAAAAGTCCGGCTCGTGCTTCGGAGCTTGTTTCGCTCACACCCTTGCAGATGGCAGCGCTATCACTATTGTTCTGCCCCTCTTCAGGTTATTTTGTTGTTTTGAATTTTCACCTAGGAAGGCTCTACTTTCTCAGGAAAACAAAAAGATGAACTACGTCTGCAAGTGCAGGAAAATGCCACATGGCCACAATGCAGAAATCCACTTTAGCTAATGAAGAATTACAGAAGCTTTCATTTGGAAGTGATGAGCGCTCTACCATTTCCAATAATGTGTCATACCACTGCTCTCATAACTCAGAAATATGATTTAAAATCATCAATTTCCACAAAAATTGAAGGAAGCAAACATGTTTTTTGCTCTCTACCTTCCTCAATATTTCCGACAGCACATTATAGTGAACAACTACTGAACAGACACATCAGATGACCAAAAATTAATAGTGAAAGCAACAAAACGTTTGGAGGTCACCTGAATGTTTCCTTATATTTTTGTGCAGATTGCCGACTTTAAATTTAAGTTTATGCTATGTTTTATGAAAAAAAAAAGTATGCAATGCGTTACAGAGTTTGAGGCGCACAGGGTTTATGCAATCGAGTCCCATTAATTAAATAAAACTGTGCTATCAACAAACCCTGTTTTGAAGGGACTTTTGCTGATGTACTGAGGCTCAGATGAATTGCTTGGAAACTTTCCCATTGGTTGGACCCTTTTCAAGTCTATCACATAGACAGCAACATTTGTTAGAGAAAAGGCACCAGCAATCTGAAAAAAAAGAAAGAGAAGAAGCAACGAGTTATTACTTCATTTGTGCTCATAAAAAAAGGTAGAGACAAAACATACTACATTCAATCAATGCTGAAATTAAGTATAATATTATGTAAAGTAGTCACCCTAACTATGACTTAAAGTTGTAACCCTTACTAGCTCCAACAAAATTTTGAAAGAAAAATGGGTTGAGTGTATGCCACGGCCATGAGTCTTTAGGCGTGATAACGTCTATGTCCCGAGTGTAGCGAAATCAAATGCACGCCTTAAATGTAACATTTATTTTGATGTAACAGAATTAATAGAATGAAACACAAATATGAGATGGAACACATTTATTTGTTCGTCACAAAATCAATTAACGAGAGTTTCGAAACAAATATTTAAACATGAGGTAAACTTATACTTCCAAACGTACACATGAAACCAAACGAAAATAATGTCAAGACACAACACAAGCGTATAAGTCCCACAGGCAGTCTCTAACAAGTGCAGATAGAAGTGCGAGCGACATTTGAACTTCGAAGATGAAACTCATCAATGGACAGAAGTGACTGATTATAGGACGATGGTAGGAGAAATATGAAATATACTCTCAGGCAAAATGGCGGCCCAAGGGATTTCGGTTTCATGGTTCAAACGCTACATTTCAGGGGGGATGCGGCCTCGCGCTTCCCCGAGCGCCGAGCAACGGGTATTGCACTGCCTCCCAGGTGAAAATCCAAAGTGGTATTACAAGTGGTACCACTTGCCAGCAAGTGGTTCCAGTTGAGGACCACTTTGGTTTTAGGCGGTTCCAGTTGGAACTACAAGTGGTTCCACTCGCTTTACAAGTGGTCATGGTCAGAAAACCACTTTAAAGTAAGTTGTTCCATTTGCCTTCCAAGTGGTCATGGTCAGAGAACAACTTTGTAGTAAGTGGTTCCCCTTGCCTCCCAAGTGGTCATAGTCAGAAAAACACTTTGAAGAAAGTGGTTCCAGTTGCTTTCCAAGTGGTCATGGTCTGAAGACCACCTAAAGGCAAGTGGTTCCACTTGCCTTCCAACTGGTCATTATAATGGAATAAATTTTGATTCCGATTCACAAACGAAACAAGGTTCCATTTGACATCTGTTAATAAATTACAAATGGTAAGGAGTTAAAAAAGTAACCCCTGTAGCCAAAAGAAATGTTAGCTTCCACCCTGATCATTACAATATGAGAAAGAATATCCATCAAACCTGTGGTGAAGGCCTTTTTGTTTTAAAAGTGGCCACAAAATATATGCTATTTCTTTTTATCAGCATTAAAGAATAGAACCCTAACTGCCATGCCTAAATTTAGATGGAACCATTTTCCCCAAACAAACATCCAATATTCCTCTCTCTGAGATGAAATCACTGATACAGACTTTTTCACCACCAGAAGGATTTGTATTAGGTTTCACGAGGTCAGTGTTGGCCTCATGTGCCATAGTTGCCCGGGATGCAGGATTGATTCACTCACCGGGGCAAATAAAGTTTCTGGCACTTGAGCAGCCCATTATTCAAATTTGTGCCTTTAGCAATTTGAGAAAATCGGGAACTCAGCAAAATCTATTCTCCCGTAGTCCAACTTCACTCACACCCTACGAACACGCCAAATATCGAAAGAAAAACGCTGCTCAAAATGACATCGAGCATCCCGAAGCGACGCCAAACACCCACCAGTTGATTGTGCGAGACAGAAATGTCGGCCACTCCGTTCCAGCCCATGACCAGAGTGTCGCAGGTCTTGATAGGTTCCCAGTCGTACACCTCCAGCAAGTCCTCGGCACCACTGAAGAGACAGGCTCCGTCCGGGTTGAAGAACACGCACCTGAAAGCAGCACGCAAGGAGAGCATGATGACTCGTTCCTGAACCCGACTGGCCAGCGTCCCACCAAATCGCCCATACCTCACTGTCCCTGAGCCGGCACCAGTGGAGGAGACTAGCTGGAAGCTCTCCAGGTCCCAGAACTTGACTGTGCAGTCCGAGCTGCCGCTCGCCAGAAGAAACTCGTTGGGGTGAAAGTCTACGTCGTTCACGGGACCGCAGTGGTCTTGGAACTCAAACAGCACCTTGCCCACGGACAGGTCCCACAGCTGCAGGCACACACAATCAACCCGCCCAAACTTAAAGGGACTGCCCCAGAAAGAAGTACACTCTGAATCTAATTATTCCACGCAGCATATGCTTTCCTCCTCTTTTTTATGTGGGTGCACTCTTACCTAGGATTAGGATTTAGGTGTCATTTCATGAAGTTTAGTTTCAGATAACCACTTTTGGCACCCTTGACAAAGGTGTCGAACCAAACTCTAACCAAAAATCGTAGCAAAACCGTTATTTTTTACCGAACCGGAACTGGAACCGAAATCAAGCATTTAATATTGAACTCGTATCAGAACAGAACCATAATCTCATGTGGCGGTTACCAGTTCATTGGAAAACGGTTTGGCGTAATAAAATGTGCGGCACACCTTAATTCTTGCAGAAGGATGCGCGAAGTCAATTAAATACTTGCGACGGTGGCATCAGCAGCGCAGTTTTGGCTAAACAAACGGCGGCGACGTGAAGGCAACTCAATAATAATGAAACAAACAAAATATTTTACGTCTATGTTCAGCATGACTTGGCGTCGGTGAGTCGACGCGGTGGCGTACACTTTTACAGATCATTTCACCTTACCACGAACCGCAAAGGACGCTATAAGCCACCCGAGCCAATCCGCAGCTCAGAGGGTGTCACGTGCCCCTCCGGTTGGGTGTTGCGACGCTGGGAGCGCAAAGTCACGTGACAAGCTACGAGCTGTGGATTGGCACGGGTAGCTCGTAGCTTCCATCAAAGAACACCATGAGGTGAAATAAAGAATATCTGGCTATGCCAAGAGGCTCGAGAGCTATTCTTTGAGTGTGTTTTTGCTGCTAAGCAGTAATCCTCAAGGGAAAAAAAAGCAAACATAAACATCAAAATTAAAAAAAAAAATTTGACCGGTGTTGGCCCGTTTGTTCCGCGGTGGCAAAATTAGGAGGCACCAGGAGGCGAAGCCGCGGTAAGTGCAACCGACACTGTGGTGCCGGTCGCCAGGACCCCAATACACCTAAAAGCTATTTAAAGAATTTTTAAGCCGAAAGCCTTATAAGTCCCATTACGGGAAAAGGCGATGTCGACGTTGTGCCCGAAAGATGGCCATAAAAATATGTCATCAAGCACGCACCGCCCAAGGTCAAAGCGGACGCGCCTAAAAAATAAAACACAAAGAAAAGCACAAAAGAAGACGTGGCGCGCTGCCTCCGGCGCGTCAGTTGCGCTTCTGACTTCATTCGTGCTCGTTGTGTGCTTTGTGCGATGAACTGTGAGGTGACCGCACCTACATCTACGGCCTCGACATCGGCAGCAGCGCCTAGATCTACGGCGGCTTCCGCAGGCAAATGTGGCCGCCTACGCAAATAAGCCACAGCCGAGGAAGCAAGGGAGAAGATCAATCCGGCAAGGCGAGCGAAGAGGCAGGCAACGAAAGTAACCAATGTACCGTCTCAGAAGTCACGCCGTGCTCGTCATGGAAGTTTAGAACATGAAAGACGAAACGTGGATGCAGAGCTGAGAAAACGAGAGGCCGAAGCTACGCGTCAGAAGCGTCAACAGGATCAAGAATTTTGAAAACGAGAGGCCGAGTATAAACGTCACTTTGAACAACAACTACGTCTACGTCATGCTACCCACCACATGCAGCATGAGGGTTCGAAAGTTTGCGGTCTGGTGGCCAACGGATAAGCAAACAACCACACACACCAAATACAATACCGGCAGAAACAACTTTAATATGTGTAGAAACATTAATCGAAAACATTTCACCCGCGGGACAATAATGCTTCGCATTCCTACAAGTAAGCAGTCTTTGTATTAAATTTTTTTTCTTTTTTAATTATTTTTAGATTGCTTTTTACTGTCTTTCTCCTCTTGAACTCAGTCGTTCAAGCAAGGCGTTTGGGTGTGCGGAGTGGGTAGTTTGCGAGTACGATCCATGCTATTGTCACGGTGTCACTGTGCGTGCCGGCTGAATGACTTCACATGTGAGTAGTGATGTCTCATTAATATGGACACCTCCGCTCCCCCAAAAAATCGTCCATAATGTGAGTTGTCAATAATAACGAGACAAAAATGCACGTATTTCCCGAAAATTGAGTCCACATAGCGGGGTATCCGTATTAACAAGACATGACTGTACTACACTTTGGTACTGTTTCTAAGCACTGCATGACCACATAATTTGCACAAAATGATGTTTGCGATAAAAGGTCCATTTGTTTTGCTGTCCTTGTTTCTGCAGCACGGCTTCTGATGATATTCTCTTTTAATGCAGATGATGCCACGCTGAACACATTTTGTCTACCAGTTTGAACTGGTTCGCAGTTGGCGGAACCATTAACCGAACAGTTATTTCGAATTCGTCACTGAACCGGAACCGAACCGGAACAAAATGCAAAGTTATGAACCCGAACCGAACTGGAACGATGACCGGTTCTACTCCCTGCCGTTGACATACCTTGACACTGCCATCGTCACTCCCTGATGCAATCCACCGGCCGTCCGGGCTAAATTTCAAGCTGTTGACACATTTGGTGTGGCCCTGTAAAAATTCAGACAAACTAAATGAAGAAATAAAAGCTACCATAATATCCAGAGAGACCCCCAAAAAATAACCCACACCTATTTTTGGCATGATTTGATATTTCTTCAAGCACACCGTAAGAAAGTCTACTTCTAGTAATTGCAGGGCACTGGCCACCTCGACAGAAATTGTGTTAGTTAGCCAAGACAAGAGCGAACATTGCTGGCTTGGAAGGCCAGTCGTCTTTGGTTCATTGCCCCTCCCTGCAATCACAAGTTTCGCAAGTGACGGAATCTAAAACTAGCACTTTTTAAACTTTTTTTTATTGCACACCAAAAGTTAGCCCACTCCTTATTTTCATCTGATTTGCTGTCGATTTTAGGTGGGCTACCTCTCGGGATATTACGGCACGCTGAAATTTTATCGAACAATAAAATGGAAAAAGGAACATCATACAAGTATAAATAAAAGTAACTTAAGCAAAAGGCTCATCTTCTTTGTTTCTTAACTCCTCTAAATACTAATTTCGCAAGAACCTTGTGAAAAGACCATCATATGTGCGGAAATGGTCTCTGTGATTCAGAAAAGATGCGTGGAAATGGGCATTCTTGAGACTCCCCCCCAAAAGCGTAATGAATTCACATTTTGCACATTGAATGTGTGGATTGCATAATGAACTGACAACAGTAAGGCAGAAAACACTTAAAGGACACATGCAAAGGAAAAAAACATTTTTTTTAAAAATGGCTTAGATGGAAAAAAGACGCCATAAAACGATTTTACAACGAAGAAAAAAAATTTTTTAGAGCTGTATTTACAGCGCAAAACGAATTTGTAGTTGGCGCCCGCGGGCACCGCGGAAAAGTGGTCCGTATTTATCACGTGACTGGTCTTTATTTATCACGTGGTGCTTGCGCTCTTTCGGAAGCTTCCTGTGGCCTCTAAAAGTAACTTATTCATCTTTTTTTGAAGTATAACAAAAAACCAAGACGAATAAGTAACTTTTAGAGCCCAAAGGAAACTCCTGAAAAAGCGCAGGCAGACGTGATAGACCTGTGCGCCGGTCAGACGACGGCGGCGGCGCCCCGAAGCAGACAAACTTGTGCGGCGGTGGCGACGGCGGCTTGGAGAAACGCGTTGAAGCGGCGTTCGCACAACGCTCAGCGTGCGGCGGCGACGCAGCGCGGCGGCGCGCGGGCCTACCACGTGACCAGCGGCGGCTCCCGCGATCGCCAACTACAAATTCGTATAGCGCCGTAAATATAGCTCTAAAAATTTTGTTTCTTCGTTGTAAAATCGTTTTATGACATCCTTTTTCCATCTAAGCTGTCTAAAAAAAATGTTTTTTTCCTTTGCATGTGTCCTTTAAAGTAAGCAAAGCATGCGGGTAAACTGGTCCAGTAATGATGCAATTAAAGACCCTGAACTTAGGTTGCACTGACCATCTTTTTGATCCCTCTCAGGGTTTTTGAACCCTGTCACAAAACACTGCTGCTCCATAAGCAAGTATGCATAGTTTGTGAAAATAAATTGTTGAACACAAACTTTACAGACCAAGAAAACAAACAAAACTCACCTGATAGGTAAATATGCATCCTTTTTTTCTTGTGTCCCAAAGCTGCAAACATGAATGAGATGACATGAGCATTTTGCTACCTTCAAGGAACACTGACTCCCAAAGAAACATTTTTTCTTCAATGCCTCAATAGGACACACGTGTCCTATTGAGGCAATTTGGAACAAACATGTTTTGAGAGTTCAGTGTTAGTTTGACATTATCAGGGGGATTAAAGGACCATGCCAAACTCCAAAAGATTCAATGTTATTTGATAATAGCAGTTAAGATGTCCGAAGAATTTCTATACATTGTAAGCGACAGATGAGACGCTCCCAAACTATTGTCCGTGGCAGCATCCATGGAGATTCACACTCATTCGAGAATCACTCCAACAGGGACATGTGAGGCAATGAAGAGGGTTAAAATTATTGGACTGGGAATCTCTGTAGCTATAGAGTTCTCACAATGCCTTTTTGCTGGCTTCTAGATAAGAGTGTGTTCTTATATCCTCTTTTTTGGAGAAAGCGCTCAGGTGTGTGTGGGTGCCAGTCTTGAACCAATCGGACATGATTACTTTGAATGAATACGTAAAGATATTGTCTGTGGGAAACTATATACTTGTATATTGTTTTTGGATTCTTGCATGCTTGCCTTTCTTTTTTTTCATACGCCACTGGGGTTATAGTCAGTAGGAAAGTATTCATGGGAATCTGCAAATGACCCCCACCCCTTCAGACAGTTATGGTCCACAAAGACAAAAAGTTTGAGTAACACTATCATAAACATGTGCTCACACTTGGGTGTGAAGAGACTAAGGATACCTGTGATATTTCCACTCTGCTGCTATGTGTCAAAAGGGGTCCCAAAGTGCATTTTGAGATCCTCGTTTTATGATCTTAACTCAACCTATGAGCTTTAAGCCTCCTAAAAATTCGAAATTACATTCATGTGGGACAAATTTGCGTATTAAAAAGGTGATCAAAGATCCCGACACTTACCATTGGCGCAGAACGACAGATGGCGCTACCAAACCTTGCTGAATATGGTCGAACGACAGACGGCACATGTCAGCATCTCGCGAGCGATGGGTTCCCGCGTGAACGAGCGGTACTGATTGGCCGCTTGTCCACGTGGGAACCCATCGCTCATGGGTGGCTGACAAGTGTTGTTAGTCGTTCGACCATATTCAGCAAGGTTCGATACTGCCTGTTGTTCTGCGCCAACGGGAAGTATCGGAATCTTTGATCACTGTTTTAATACGCAAATTGGTCGCGCATGAATGTAATTTTGGGGTTTTCAGGATACTTAGAGCACGTAGATTGAGTTATGACCACTAGGTGAGGATCTCAAAATGCACGTTAGTGACCCTTTAACATCTAAATGTGTGCCAGAAAAAGGGTGTGGAAATTTCCTTTTTCTAAATGTATTTGTAATGTAAATGTAAAAAATAAATATTTTTTCATGAATTCAAGACCTTTAAACAACTTTATATTCGCAGGCTCAATATTTTGCAAATTTTGTAGATTCTGGACTTTAGAGATATTTCGAGGGCATGAAATTTCGCAAGTGGAAGATTTTCAACTAGAAGTGATATGATGAGTATTTCTTACCAAGGGGTGAGTATTTACATACCTCTTTCACTATATTATTTTAGTCCATAGATTTTGAAGAATTGGGTCCTTGCAAAAATTAAGGCATTTAAAGTATATGACTAAGTCAACATCAACCTTTTTTAAGTAAGGGATTTCATAATTAATTGGATGAAAGCATATTCATGACTCCAGCAAACTATAGGGGGTGCGCTGGTCAGGCAAAATGGCGGAGAGGAGGTCGTTTTCGTCATTCGGCAACGCGGACCACTATAAATTTCTTTCAGTGCAGTGTAAAATCGGTGTCACATATAAAAGCAAAACAATTTTTCGACTATAGAAACCTTCTTCTAGTAAGCGCGTAAGAATGACACGGCAGAAGCATAAAAATAATTACTGGAAACAATGTTTGTTTCTATGCTACCTACGAGAACCAAGCAGCGATAGCAGACGACAGAGTCAAAACGACCTCCTTTCCTGAGCTTCTCGGCGTTGCCGCTACGCAGCATTGGTTTTGCTGGAGTCGCCAATACTGTAAACGATTTTACGGTACAACAATATTTCACAAATTTTGCTAAGTGTGGGTTTCGGGAATATTTCACCAGCCCAAACTCTTGCAATTGGGAGTGGTATGCTATGTATTTGTTACGCTAGGGCAGTGGTTCTCAAATGGGGGTCCGCAAAGGCATTCTAGGGGTCCGTAAAGCCCTGCCTCATCAGCCAAGCCCAGCAATAAAAGTTGTCTTTTCTCCAGATTGAGAAGAAACATTCCTATTTCTGGGCGAGTTTTCTGGTGTGAATGTCAATGAGAGAAGTCTACTTCACAATAGCCCTTAGTTATATCCATTTATTAGATTATCATAACCTATACCTTTCCCTTCCCCTCACCACGAACAAGGTCCTCCATCATCTCCGCCGATCCACAAGGGGTCCGCGAAACATGGTTGAGAACCACTCCCCTAGGGTAATATATTTGTGCTATCTATTTTCCCCCAATACTTTCAAGTTGCGCAATTAACTAAATTTAGGTCCTCGCAAAAATTAAGTTGTTTACAGTATGTGTCTGTTTTTATCTTATGTTTTGTGCTTTCATTTCCATCAATCTATGCAAATTTTTTCATATATATTTTTTTTTTTTCATTTATCACACTTTTATAAATAAAGCTTGACTCTTAATGCCTAACTTTGTCAACCTAGCCCTTACAGTTATACAACCAATGTATTTTAAACTACACGGTCTGAAAACTACATTAGCAATCAAATTTGTCCTTTAATTCCTCTCACAATAAGCCCCTTTCCAAATTATGCATTCTTTTAGAAGATATACAAATACTTCACAGTAGTGTGTGCAAAAGACACCACCAAGCTGACAAGACCATACTATAAACAGAGTAATTTCCATCCATATCTGTGTGGTTATAGAAATACATATTTTATAGTGTGTGCCGATTTGCCATATTGCAAGATTTTCAAAGCCTTGAGGTGCCACCTCTGAAAGGTTATATTACCTTTATGCTGGAATCCATTGACCCTGATGCCACAAATTCTGCATGGGGGTGGAAGTCCATGCACCGCACATTGCCCTTGTGGCCTACGAGCGTCCGGACCACTGAAAAGTGAAACGAATCAAAGCACTTATTGAGTTTCACAATCAAAACTGGTAAAACCGAGCTCCTCCTTAACAACCTACTGAAGTCTATAGATACAAAAAACAGGCGATGTAATCATCCTCATGAAACTAGGCATGTCAGCTAAAAATGGAACCAAATTTTTTTCGTTGAAAATTGACATTTGTTTTAAATGTTAGTACCCTCACAAGTTTGTATGAGATCACAATTTTTGTGAGAAAAATGTGCGTAGGAACTAGAATAATTCACCGCAAACAGTCGGTAGATGTGTAGGATGGCAAAACGCAAGGAACAAATTCAGTCGCCACCTCTAAACCTCTAAAATCAACAAACATGCATGCCAAGTTTAAAGGGAAGATGGGGCACTTCTGCATTTGAGAAAAAACACTTGAAATGCGTTCATTTGGCCTTCAGAATAACAAATATCACAATTATGTTTCAATGCGACGCGCCGGAGAGCAATCAGAGCAATTTCAAAATAGGGCTGAAGCCCCGCCTCCCTAGCCTTGGGCAGCCAAAAGAGCCGTCGATGACGTCACGGACAGCGACTGCCTTTCGCGTTTTCTCGCGTTTAACAATACTTGCGCAGCAAATGGTTTGGGTATTCGGGTTCACGGGGTAAAAATACACTAGAAATCACTTTTAACACATTTTTTTCAAGAAGCTCCGTAGCGTCCCTTTAAGAAGAAAAGAGTGAAGATTTAGAGTGTGACCCTTTTAACCGGGGGGGGGGGGGGCAACAGCGTGGTGGCAGTTATGATAGAACTTGTAGGTGTTGGACTACGCGTATATCTCGTTAGCTTTAAAGAAAAACAACTTCTTGTTTCTTTGAATCTTGAAAAAGAGCAAGCGTATTTAATTTATCATGCTTCACATAAACTTCCACACCTTTGATTACTAAAATAAAACCCACATTTCTGAAGTTTAGTCAGTCCTTTTAGATAAATATGCGCTCGGATTTCGAGTTACTCAATTGTTTAGGTTCAATTTGTCCGGTCATGTGATCACACACTACTATGTTGCTGCTTGCTTCGTAAACATGATTGAAGAAGTCGAAATCGTCTCCAATTATGGGCAAACTGTGACTGGGACGTTAATTGGCGCAATCCTCAAGCACATCATAGGCAAGACCATCGTTGATGAAACTTGATAGAATGGTGGTGTAAGTATTTATTTTAACACCCTCTCGGCACCTACACGCCCCAACTCGCACATCTCGCTCGAGATTGTGCAAACTGACAATACTAAAGGCTACAAAACGGAAGCACCTCCCCATTGTTCTGCTCCCAGTATGAATGCATTAAAATAAGTTGAGTTTCATCTTATCTGCCCTGTAATGTTTTATAGTTCACACTGAAAGAATAAAAACACAGAAAATACACGAGGGACAGACACACACAGTTCTTTCAATGAGCAACTACGTTTAAATGATGCTCATTACACTATGATGAACCACCTGAAAGAACTGTGTGTGTCTGTCCCTCGTGTATTTTCTGTGTTTTTATTATTTCAGTGTGAACTGTACTCTATCCAACGCGCTCTGCTATGTGTGCCTAATGTTTTATAGACTCTGCTGAATAATTTTATTATCTCATTTATGCGGCAAACACTTTCGAAGCCCACCTGATTAATCTAACAGTTTCGTCTGGCAAGGGCCAAGCGATCAGTGTAACTGCAGTCACTGCAACACCACCCAGCTCTAGCAGCCTCAAACACTAGCTGCAACTTCCAGGGAGTAGTGAACAGAGCAGTTTTAAACCCCATTCATTTAATTCCTGTTGCAGTCCACTTAACCCAGCATTGTTCAAGACCGTTTTAACAATAACACTACCGTAAAATCCCGAGAGATGACCCACCCCAGAAAGATAGCCCACCCCTATTTTTAACTTTATTTGTTATATTCTTTTCAACACCGAAAAATAGCCCACTCCTTGTAATAGTAGTGTTGAGATCAATGATGGTTTCGGTGTAAATGCGGATGTTGCTACTGGGAAATAAGCGAACGTTGCTGACTGGGAAGTACAGTCGTCTCTGCTTCGTTGTCCCTCACCACCATAACTAGCTTGGAAGGGACACGACCTAAAAATAGCAATTTTCTAAAACTTTTCTTGATTGTACACATTGAAAGTTAGCCTACTCCATATTTTCAGTCAATTTGCTCTTGATGTTAGGTGGGCTATCTCTTGGGATCTTACGGTATGCGTTCATATATCGCATTCAAAAAGACATTCCCCTACTACTGCCTCCAATAACTGTGGTTCTTTCATGGCAGGATCACGTTAAAAGGACTGATGAGGCCCAAGCACATGTGGCATGGCCAGAGCTGCAAACAAAACCACAAAACTTCCAAGACCCGCGGGGGGGGGGGGGGCAAACTTTTCTTTAGAGGAATGAACGAAACTCAAACTACTTTCAATCTATCAGAGTCAAAAGCAGTCCAACTGTACGTAAGGTAGCAGCAGCACAAAACTACCGAACCGCAACCTGTCTTTCGATTCCTCTTTTTGGGGAAGTGCTCGTGTGACCGGGGGGGCGGGGGGGCCTTAGCACGCGAAGAGCCGCAGCTTGGCAAGCCCTGGACTAGCCAATAAGAAGACACTATTTACAATTTCAGGTGTTGGACAAATTAGGCTCGACCGGTGCCTGGATGATTAGATTCGTTCTTCGAAAAAGCCAAGTGGAGCAGGTAGGATGTTGGGCTTTTTCATCTGGAAGCCCATTGGGGAAAGCAGCGTTGGAATCTTCCAAGAATATGTCCAGTGTTTACATTGTATTGATGAGCAGAGCTCATTGTTAGTAATGCATAGTAGTCTCAGATGACTGGCTGTTTTTCTTTTTGTTATGATGATGTGCAATTGCACTTATATGATTAAATGTGCCCGATGATGAGATGGGACTGCTGGTAGAATTTCGGAAACATTTTTCTGCCGGCTGCCGGCAGAATAGACACTGCCTAAAATTAACAAAACACAGCAGCATAAAATGGGAAGGAGTACTTCACCGTGCCTTCTACTCACATTAGGTGTCGGCAATCTTCCATATTTCGAATTGAATGACAAGGGGGCAATTTACTTTAAATAGATCACTGCCGTCAGCTGAACACGATGGGAATGAAAGGTTTAAACCTCAACAACCAAGGCGCACTTTGCGTTTTGATGTGTGTTTCTGTCTCCCAGTGCCACTCCACACACCGTGAACTTTCCGGCTCTTCATTGTATGATGAAGAAGACGATAAGGATAAACTTTATCCTTATCGTATCGCAGTTGTAGGAAACATGGTGAAACGTAACTTTGCGAATCACCAAAGACGCACTGGAGTCGACGGAGAACGAATCTTGACTTGTGACTGCGCTTTTGAGTGGGTCCACTCACTCGTTTCACCATTAGAGCAGATCCGACGGTTGCAAAATGTTTTTTCGTCTTCCAGCGACATCACGGACACACTTTCAGCCACATTTGCGATACATGTGCACGTAAAGCGAGGAACATTGCACGTCCCGCACCACCAAAACACTGGCGCGAAATTTAAAATGCTCTGTTTCCAGTGTTGTCAGGCGCTTACTTGGGCGAAATAAAACCAACATAAGAAGAACAAACGCTCGCAGCGCAGTGGAACGTAATCGGCGCCACGAGAAAACAGCGACGTTGCTCGGTGCTCTCCGTCAACTTTGACTTGAAAGTCACTAACAGAGATGAAAACATTGGTTTCAAGATTTTGATCGCCGCCAGCACGGAGCGCCGTAAAAGGAGAAGGGAAACGCATTAAAAACGACGACGACGACCCCCCCCCCCCCCCCCCCCCCCCCTTTTAACCTTGTCTGCGGCGCTGCACGGGCTTTTAAAGAACGCGCGTACACTGAGCCCCCCCCCCGTGACCGCGGAGCACGTGCCGCGGGAGATCTCGGCGGCATCTGGAAAAACGCCATTACCATAACACTTCACGCACGGTCACTTATCGTAAAAGCACGAGCACGCGAACGCGCGTGGGTTTGCGCGCCCTGCACTAAAAAGCTGGCAGAATGTGGGTCAAGCTCGAAAGGTTAGCGATAAAACGAGACGCAACCAGGCAACGGCTCGACATCGCACTACGAAACGAGCGACATCCGCGGCTGAGCAAAAAGCAATGTCACTAACGCATAACCTTTTTTGCCGTAAACGAAACACAAAAACAAGCGCACGCATCAGCGTCAAAAACGACGCTCTGGTGGGAATCTCTTCTTTTAATCTTAAGCTAAGGGAAAATAAGGACTGCTCTAGATGTAGCGATGTCGGGGTACCACTAGCAATCATGTTTCCAGCAAGAAAAAAAAAAAAAAAAAGCGGTAAAATGAGACGCTTGAGAAGCGTAGTGGGAGCACTTACTTTTGGCAGCTTCCAGGTTCCAGATCTTCACAGCCCCCGACATAGAGCCCGCGCAGACCATCTCTTCGGCAGGGCAGAACTTGACACACTCCACCGCCGTCGTATGACCCGTCAGGCTCTGCAGCGTCGACAAAAAATCAACACACATAAGGAGTGGGCCCTCAAACCACGCGTCACACAGCCACCCCCAGCCAGCCACGTCGCAGGAGGGCAGCTCATGTACCGCGCACCAAACAATACTCTGTGTCCGGAGAAGGAACAAGAAAATACCGAACAGTTTATGTCTCGCGATCCTACGGGTGAGTGCAATTCTCGAACCGCTTTATCCCCCGGAAACCGTGGAAATGCAAGTCACGAACCCCAATAAACAATGCATTATCTCCATTGAAACTTTGGATTGGGCTAGTTGGTTCATTATGATCTGGAAGACTTAAAAGTGCGAAAAAAAAAAAAAGGACGAGGAAGAGAGACATACAACACGGACTGACGCCAGTCCGTGTAGAATGTGTCTCTTTTTCGTCCGTGTCTTTTTGCGCTTTCAAGTCCTCCAGACCTTATCTCCAGTTGTTGTTGATGTTGTTGTTTTTTGTTTTTGTTTTTTTGCAGTGATTATTTTGACGTCCACAGTCAAAATATATCAGAATTATTTCGACATATGTGACGTCACTTCCGTAAAGTCTCCAAATGGTGGCTTCATTATTTCGACGTCCCCCTCTAATGTAGCCATCGCAGTGGTAGTTGTTTGGTGGTTTCGTTCTATTGTCGGTGTTGAGTTGAAAGAGTCATGCGTTACATCCCTAAAAAGTTTCCATCCTAGTACGTTCGCAGTGGAAATGCCTTATACAGCGTGTGTGTGGGACTGGCTCGACAACAGTTGATACTTTCGGACAAGACACGCCCGGCGGCGATGTTCTGAGCTCTCGCACGTCAGTTCGTTCGGCATACGTCTCAGTTAAAATTTTGAATCTACAACAAAGGCAAGCTGGGTATCCCTCTGCATTGCCTGCACATAACAAATGTTAGTGCGTACACTACGCAACACTGAGAAATTTGGCACGTGTTTTGTGCCTCCGTATCGTGCGAGCGCGTCTTCGTATGGAGCGAACCAGCGTTATCAGCTTTTGAAGCCGCGCCAAACGGCACCTAAATTCCCCTGATCGATGAAGCGAAGTGTGTGTGTGTGTGTGTGTGTGTGTGTGTGTGTGTGTGTGTGTGTGGAAGGAAATTGGGGGGGGGGGGGGGGGGGAGGGGGAGTGAGGGCCAATAGTGTACGCGCACAGGGCGCATTTGTCACTGGCTCATGGAGCGAAGCCTGTGGTCTCTAACAGCGAAGTGATGGATAGACTCCCATTGGCAGCGCGCGGCATAGTTCTAAGGAACGCCACCCCACTACCATGGCGCAGCGGCCCGGCCGCCGGCAGGTCGTCGGCAAGAAAGGGGAGAGGGTGGCCGGGCTCTGCAGAGTGGCCGGCCGCAGAGCGTTGCCGAATCGTGGGAAATTTCCCATATTGTGGGAAAAGGCATGACAGCCACGGAAAAAAAGGGAAAACACGACTTGAACACATGTAAAACGTGGTAAATATTTTTTTAATCAAAAGCTAAACTGAAATTTTGTCGTTTTCTTATCTACAGCGAACAAAAGGAAGGAAGGGCACTTCGCTACTCAGACATCTTGCTCTTTTGAAGAGCCAACCCAAACCACCACGACTCGCATGTGCATGTTGGTGGTTCGCGCGCTTTCCTCACTGCTAGCTACGCATACGTCCTCTGTCAGTGCGTTATATCATGGATTGCACAGTGGGTCGCGTTCCTTCCATATCACGAAAACGAGCAGGTAGTTTAGTTAATGGGCTGCTTGCCTTCATTTAATTTTCCTGGTTCATTCAACGAATGTAGAGTGCGCAAAAGGGGGACCAGTTTGCCGAACGTCAACTCCCACATTTTGTCATTTATGCGATGAAAATTTCTACAAAATGAGAACATAAGCGAGCTGTTGCTGTATTTAAAGATACTTAGTGTCATGCATATCTTACAAACGACTTTTGTCACTAAATTCGGTTTGTGGGGAAAAAAAAGGGGGGAATTTTCGCCGCTCGAAGCAGGAAAAAAACGAAGTGGCAGTGCGGCGACACTGCGCAGAGCCAATACCACCTAGAAGACAAGGCCTGCGCATGACGTTTCGTTAGTAGATCCCCGACCCGCCCCAAGCGGCAAACACCCCGAAGCTTGACGAGAGTAGGGGCCGCGCCGCAACTACGTCGCAGTCACTTGTGGCCGCAGCTGTGTGCGTGACTGCTGAGCGCGAGCTGATAACGAGCTTCCAGTGCATTTGCGACGTGCACGCGAACGCTCCCTCAGCCAGGAGCGCGAGCTAGCACGCGCTCCTGGCTTTGAGACGCGCATTTCTAGCGCGCGCGCTCGTTCTCCGGTAGAACGCTTCAAAGCAGCTACCCGAGGTATAAACAGCGCCCTCGAAAATGGCGTCCAGTGTCAGCATCCAGCGTCCAACGAAGGGCTTTTCAGCCCTTCGCGCAGCAGTAAGGCAATTTCGCTCATGCATTTGACGCTCCACGTGAACGTCTAACTTCATCGTATGCTATTTGCAAGAGACACTCGGCGTGAGCATCTGTTTCATTATCTGTTACACAAACCACTGAAGCAGGCGATGGAGCAGACGATGTAGCAGACGATGTTGCTCATCCGGGCTAGCTAGGGGGCGCTGAGGGGATCTACTAGTGATGACGTTTAGAGGAGGAAACGCGCAGGCCTTGTGTTCTAGGTGGTATTGGCAGAGCCCGCCCGCGGGCAACATCCGCAGAGGTCGCCCGGCCGGACTCAGAGCGGCGCGCAGCTTGGAGGAATACGCTACGTATGCGAATGCTTTCGCATTCCGACACGTTAGCAGTCTTCAGTGTCCTTGTAGTTTTAACCGGGTTTTGTGAGTTCGTTGTTTAGTTTAGATTTTCTTGGTTCGTGCAAACACTGCCTCCTTGAGATTTTTTGACCGGTGCGAACGAACAAAGGTTCTGGCGCGATTGTACGGGATACGGGCATTTTTTGCAATCAACTGCAAATTCAAATAAATTATGAAAAGCAACGGTGCCGCATTCTGTAATGTTGGGCACAACCAAGCAAACGTTGCGAGCAGCCTAATAGCTTATGTACTTTAAAACGTTTCTTTTGCAATTTTACAATATTTAAAAGGTAATAAAAACTACAGTCGACTGCAGATCTGTTTTCGGAAAATGCGTGTTAAACCGTGACGCCCCATGTAAAGAAGATAATATTTGTTTTATCGTCACTTTCGATCACTTTCTAGTCCAAACTCCGAAGTTCTCAGCTTGAGAAGTCAAAATAAGAAGAAACAAATATTTTGACGGGGGATGTCAAAATGATTTTGAAAATGATTTTCGGTCGCGCACCAGTCACCTATAGCTGTGTTTGGAGATTTGTGTTTGTCCTTTGTACCCCTTGTTCCCCGTCTCCAAGGATTATTTTCGTCTTTCCACGTCTTCAGGAAGTGGCTTCACGGACGTCAACATTTAAAATTATTTTGAACGTGGACGTTGAAATAGTCACTACTTTTTTTTTTCTTTTTTTATCACCTTAATGAGAATGATGAAGCACTCACCACTATTAGCCATCTTTTCGGTGTTTTTTTTTTTTTTCTATCAGCCTTGATTTTAGTGCTGCGTCTACCGTTCCCAGACACCGCTATCTTCCGTTCGAGGCGGGAACTATACGGCAATCGTTCATACAAACCTGAGGTGATGGGGCGAAACTGTGTTCATTGTACAACCAGGCACACAGAAGATGACGAGAGCTCCCTTCATAAACTCCTTCGTTTAATAAATAAAACCGAGCCGCCCAAAAAAAACAAAAAAACAATGGAGCTAGTAAGACCCTACACGAGGTTCAACGCGATCGAGCAAGGCCACAGTTCAGGGTCGAGGCTGTCCTTACACTCGAGCATCAGTGGAAACCCCAGGCTCTTCCGCCCTATCCGTAAATGAATCCAACGGTGACGTCGGTAATTACAGTACAGTGCTAACGCTTGACTCGAGACTTTTTTTTACCCCTTTTCGCTATCGACGACGCTACCGGGAATTTGTTATGCGACGCCCGCACCACATTATTCCAACCAGTTGGCACTGAGTCAGACTGAGCCGTTAAATCTCCTCCAAAGTGGACGCAGTCCATAAAGCTATACCTGAACTGGTCACCCGGAACAACGCATAATCATACAGTCGCCGTCATTTTGGTTGGCTTTTCGAAAGCGGTTTGCCAGAAAAGCCGGAGGGACTTCTAAGTAGATGAATCAATCGCAAGTACGAGCTTTCACGAGGTATTTCCTCTCGGAAGGTATGATGTTGCCTTCCCTCGTAAGCTTCGTGTTATCCAATGTTTTGTTCAACTGTGAACCTTCAATAACCAACGATCGATTGGCTTTTGTATTTCGTAATTAATTATAACACGCAGGATGGCAATTCCCAACACACTCAGAGACAGCGGTGATACCCCTACCACTTTAACCCGCATTATCGCACAGGCGAACTGACGTGTACCGTTCCGAGAAATTCGAGAAGAAACTTCTTAAACTGCCCCGACAGCTGCTGTTGCCAAGCGGCCATTAAAAATCCGCGGCTAATAATTACACGCGGCGCACTTTCTCCCTTCCCCGAGCGCACGCCAACGTGCGAGGTCTCAGATTCGATCCTACTGCGGACGAGGAAAAGCCGAACTCTGCTGGCTTCCCAAAAGACGCTCACAACTAATTACTCTGGAAGCACGTCCCGCAATTGCCATTGGAGACGGCAGCATGAGCAGGGTCTCGCCACCAAACAATAGACGCGGCGGAACAGGGAAACGGCACCACGTGCGCGGCAAAGAAAGAGAAAAAAATTAGGATAAAAAAATCTTAACATTCGTGTTTGTTTCAGGTTTTTTTTTTTTTTTTGTTTTTTTTTGGCAAAACGGCCGCAACTGTTTCACACACGCAAACAAGGCAATGCAATATAAAAAAAAAAACAAAAAAACACAGACACACGAAGTTGGCAAAATAAACCTTTACGGAAAATGCAGTGATGTGATTAGCCCGAGTCATTTTGTAGCACCTTT